CCTTTCCGAGCACTAGAAAGAGAGATATTAGCCCGTAATTGCTACATTCCGTTTTCCTCTTACCCCTGTACATGCAGATGATTATCGCATCCTTTCATTCGTGTGGTACGCGGCAAGTACTCTATGCCTTCAGGAATTGGTAGTACTGTCCTGTACTGATTGACATTATGATAAGTTTCAAAAGCTCCGGTGGTATGAGGTCAGGACTGTCTGTTCAGTCATTTTAGAGATTGCGGACAGCTGCAATGACATAAGGCAGCTAGGTTGGGAGGTGTCGGTTTTTGAGTCTAAATTTGAAATGGCGGCTCCATCCTGTAGCTCTTGATATGTCGCTGGGGGGTAAGGTTCAACGCCGATTCGTATTGTTTCAGCCATTGGAATGGTATTTAGACAGCTGAAGCGCACGCTGCTCCTCCTGCCGTTTGATTGGCGCCGCACATTCTACTTGAAAGGAGTTTGATTGCAGTTGCGGTGGATTGAGGTTGCTCTGTCGCATACTTTGATGTGCCTCGTTTTTCAGTCTGTTGTGGTACGCTTCGAGGTCTTCTTTAGTCTTTGCATTTAAGATGCCGTGCAGACGCCGATATTCCACGTGATCGCCCTTTCTGCGAGCTTCAGTCTTCAGTAGCAGGAAGTAAAGCGTCTCGTCAGAGAGTCATACTTGCTTTTTGTTGCGCTTCAGACAAACCAGCTTATTTGCTGACCTTTTTGTAGATGTCCCAGATGTTTCCTACCTCATCGAGACCAAGGAGAAGAGAGCTCATGGCGATTGCCAATGTAGATGGCGTAGGCCTCAGTTACTGGGCTCCCCTGGCGGAGGCGGTCGCAGTTTTATTGTTTGTTGATTGCACCTCGTTTGGCACGGTGTGAAGGTCAACAGTCGATGTTTATTGAGAACATGTGTTTCTGCACCGTGGTAGATCTGTAGCTTTTTAACGCGCTCCTTTTTGTTTGAGTCCGGATGTGGTCGATTTCTTTGACCGTGCGACCACCGTTGAAATGCCACGTCCATCGATCAATTCTCTAGCACTGGAATCACCAACTGATAGCCGAAAGTGGAACCGAAGATGCTGGGCGTGATTAAGCGGACATAGTTATCGTTTGAAGCGCTGGATCTGAAGCTCCCTGCCATCGACTCGAAGCCAGATTGGTCTTCATTGTCAGATGTTGAGGTCATTGAGAACCGGCAGCGGTATCATGCGGGGGGGGAGCGGCTAGCAAAGTTGATTCCAGTTGGTTATAGAAGCAGTACTTCTCTGCAGAAGTGGCTGCTTCTGTCAGTGCATATACGACGAAACT